GGGGTAGGGTTGTGTGACACTGTGGGGGCTCACTTCCATGGATTTAAGAACAACATTGGCAAGGATGGCCACTGCTCAATAGGCCTTGAGTAACCAAAGCTCTTGAAGGAACAAAGTGTCTGCATTGTTCACAGCAACCTATCAAACCTTCCATGCCATTTTGTAACACAAGCTGGAAAAATGACAGCTGGACTCTGGATGCCATGAAAGCAGATACACTTTTTGACCCTCTACGTTACTATTCTGGACTGTCCACCAGATGAAGGTTTTTTTTTTTTGGTGAAAGTGCCAATGGTGTACTTAAATGCATGCCATTAAATGAGCCCCAGGCAGTTTTTGAACTGTTGGGGAGGTTGGGAGGGGCATCCAAGAGGACATTGCATGCTGGGGATTTTGGGAAGCCTGTGTGATTTCCTCTGTATGTTTATGGGTGATATATTTGTATAAGATGCCCTAAATGTCAGTCCCCATTAGAACAATACACACATATATATACAGTACTGTATATAATTTCCATTCATAACTAAATCCAAATAAATATTTGGCCCTTTATAAAAAAAATTACATATTACAGTGTTTGATTTTGGTGATCACTCTTTAGTGGCCTGGGATTGGCTCTAGTTTGTTCTACTTGGGACTTGCTTTTTGTTCTTAAAATGGTGACAGTTAATATCTGTATGACCTATTTTGGTCATTTGAATTGTTAATTGCAGTCTACATAGATTACACTTAATAATGTAAGAAAAAAATTCTTACTAAACCTTAACAACCTTTAAAATCTTAGATGGTTGTCAAACTAAAAAGCCCATGCTCAGAATCCTATTTAATGCAAGAGTAGATGGCATTATACTTGTTCTAAATCTAAAAATGCTTTTACATTTTGTTTTAAGGTGTGCAACCTTTAAATATGTATCTTTCTTTATTGTTATGGTAATGAGCATTTGCAAAAGTTATCTGCTATATAAAAGTCTATATATTCCTCTGCATTATACCCACATCATGGGGTCCTGCACCATTTGACATGCTGTCTCCCTAAAACTAACATTATAAATATGATTGCAATAGTTTGGAATGTCTCAGACCCTGGTAGATCTCAATTCTCATTAAAGGTGGCCATACACTGTACAACCATCGCAAGACCTTAGTCTTGCGATGGTTGTAAAGGGATTAAAAAAACGTACGATCTGCCTATCTTGGACAGGCAGATCGCACTCTCGATCATCGCAAGCCCGCCCTTCCGATGACCGCAATGCTGAACGGGCAGTGTGCGCGTGCGGTCCAAGATAGGCAGATCGTACGTTTTTTTTATCCCTTTACAACCATCGCAAGACTAAGGTCTTGCGATGGTTGTACAGTGTATGGCCACCTTAACTGAGATTCATATCTGCTGCCAGTGCAGGTGATCTCCCTCGTCCCACCCATTAAGGCAGTGGTATTACTATTCACTGCAAGGATACTTCTCCTTTATCTCTGTTTATTGGTTTCCAAATATCTGAGAATGTTCTATGTCAATAAACAGCTTTAGAAGGGGAGAATAAGCGTGGGGCACCTCCATAGTGGTGTACTGATAAGCATGCAGTAGGGGTTTGGTTTTATTCCAGAACAGAGTACTCTTTTGGGGATTATTTACTTATGGCATGTATTGGTATCTAAAATGCTTGTTTTCATTCAAGTCAATGCGAATGCAGAAGCAACTCAAATGCAAGTGAAAGCAATTCAGGAGCCCCTGGAAGGATACTGCATTTGACTTGCATTTGTGATAATGAAGTCTCTGGCTGATCTAGCTTTGGGAATTTTAGTTTGACAACAACTAGAGTGGTAGTGTTATGTAAGCCTCATATAAATTACTGATATAGCACCTATGGTTTTTAAAGAGTATTAATCATACAAGGGTCTAAATAATGAGTCTTACACAATTTTAATTGTAGAGACTTTTTTTATGAACTATTTACATCAAACCATTATTTAAAGTAACACTAAACTCAGGAGTTAAATCCTAAAAATATATTTAAGTACGTAACTCATAACAAAAATGTAGCTTATTTGTGTATCACTGGGCTGTAGATCCTCAAATCATCTCTGAATTCATGCTGACACTGTCCTTCCTTCTGGAGGGTGGCTACTTTTGTTCCTCATGGTCCCTGTGTGTGTTGTAAAGTAGGGCTGCAACCAACTAATCGATTAATTGATAATAACTGATTATGAGGATCAGTGGCGTAACAACCGGGGGGGCAGCAGGGGCGCGGGCCCCGGGCGAAAAGTGAAGGGGGGGCGCCGGCCGAAAATGGCACTTTCGGTTAAATGCCGAAAGTGACATTTTCCTGCCGTTTTGTCGGCGCGGCCGTGATTCCTTTCATCCCCGCTGGGACACAGAGCAGTGCCCAGCAGGGATGAAAGGAATCAGAGAGAAAATGACAGCCGGCCGAGCGCTGCGGGGCGAGCGCTGTGAGCGGCCGGTGTCTTTCCTCCCACACCGCTCGGCCGCCTATCACAGTGCAGCAGAGCGGTGTGGGGGCGGAGACAGCCAGCGCTGTCACAGGAGGCTGGGCTCTCCTCTTGCAGCCTCCTATGACAGTGTGTGTCAGAGAGGAGAACGGGTACAAGCACTCAGCGATCAGTGATCGCTGAGTGTTTGTACATAATTGAGGACCTGGTATGTATACTATATCCTCAATTATGAATGAATGGGAGTGATCTACATCTCCTCCTGTTCATTCATAATTGTAGTTATAGTAAACATACCATGTTATCAATGAACAGGAACACTCATAAAGGATTCCTGTTCATTGATAACAGGGGACACAGAAAAAGAGATTGAGGACTCTGTGTCCTCAATCTCTTTTTCTATTTTTAAAGGGAAATATCAGGGGTCTGTTTAGACCCCCAATATTTCCCCGAAGCCCCTAAAAGTAAAGTAAAAAATAAAAATATTTAATAAAAAATTAATTAATAAATAAAAATTGATTTAAAAAAATGAAAAAGTTTCAAAAAAAATAAAATATTAAAATTTGAAAAATTAAAATAAAAACATGTGTGTGTGGGGGGGAGGTGCAGGGTACAGTTCCAGTGGTTGTTTATATAATGGGGGAGGGCGGAAAAAAAATTCTCCCCCGGGCGCCCAGAACTCTGGTTATGCCACTGATGAGGATAGTTGTCAACTATTCTCATTATTGATTAGTTGGTTGGACCCCCTCGCTCTCTCCTCCATGCTGAGAGGAGGGCACAGCCATCAGTGGGTGGGTGCAATAGCCAGCCTGCTATTGGCTATTGCAATTTGAAATGGCCAATAGCAGGCTGCCCATTGCACCAGCCCACTACCTGCTGTATTTACATTCAGCTGCCGTCTGCAGAATCTTGCCACAGGCAGCTGTCATTCCCTGGCTGAAGCTATTCAAGCGCCATGTGCTTACAATACAATTATTACCAAAAAAATTATAAAAGGTGGGAAAAAAGTAATTTTAGGTTTTAGCTTGACAAATTCAGCTGCGGGATGTGTGTTGCAGTGCTATTCATTTTAATAGCACCCCAAATGCGCCTCCCACCCACAGTGTGCTTGCCCGCACTGGAACGCACGGTACCACAATGCCGTGCGTTCCAGTGCAGTGCGATTGCAAAAAAATTGTGCATGCAGTTTTATTCTGAAGTAAACTTTATGTTTGTAACACTGCATTTGTGTATTTTTTAAAATTAAGGATGGTATTTATTTTATTTTTTTATCCGATTAATGGAAAAAATAATCGGCCAACTAATCGATTATGAAAATAATCATTAGTTGCAGCCCTATTGTAAAGTAGCCACTGCTCCAAGCTTACTCCCCTGATGGACTACAAGCTCATGTTTAGCTAGCTAATTTGTATTTAAGTTATAGTCCATCACGGGAGCGAGCTTGGAGCAGTGATTACTTTACAACACACACAGGGACCATGGGGAACAAAAGTATCCCCCCTCCAGAAGGAAAGACAGTGTCTTCAAGTGATTTCAGTAGATAGTTAAGCAAATGAAAAGTATTCATTTACATTTCATGTCTAATATTCCTTCCCTGAGTAGAAAATAGGAAAGTCTGGCCCATTAGATCTGATGAATCATGGTCTAAGAACCATTTCTTAAAATATAGCAATGCAATAAAATCTACGACCAATACCAATATTTCAGTTTTTTATGGAGGCTGCAGTGTCTATTTATCCATTGACCTAAATTGTTTAGGATAGTGGTAAGATTTCCTCTCCAGAGATGCTGGCCCTAACCTCATTTGGTCTCACTGCTCCTGGGGCATTTCTCCATATTGTAAAATACAATAGACAGGCAGTTCAATGGAGGGAGCGAGGCCTATTTTTAATGGCTGCTGCAGGTGGGCAGGTCTGGGAACTGGAATAAGGTGATTAAGTCTGGTTGTATGTATCTGAAATTAAAATACCAGTTTGGGCTGATTTAGCCTTTAATTAGGACACCCAGCATTTTATCAAAACTGAATTTTCAGGGTTGTGAACAATTCTTCAATTAATCCAAATTGTAGGAAGGAATTTTAAGAACAATATTTTTTCCCCAATATTTTGTCTTACTGATTTAGGAAACATGTAAGAAGAATGTGTGTGGATATTACAAAGATCAGGTGTCCCATTCTTTGCATACTTATCTGCTTTTTTCTCTTTTCTTCTTTTCCTCTATTGTATTGCAGGCTCCACTCACATCCTCACCCCTCAAAAACTCCAGGAAGCTCTGAAGAGAATGAATAAGACAGATGATGAAATCAGCAGTTAGATTTCCCCTGTCTCCCCAAGAAGTTGTAGACTATCTTTCCCCCAAGCCCTTCTTATTTTACCCTCCTTCCCCCACCTGACCACTGGCTGCTGAAGACAGTTTATTCTTTGCCCCCACCAGCAGAAAAGGAGTTCCTCCAGCCCAACCCCACTTTTAAACCAATGCTAATTCATGGCCTCTAACTGAGACCATTACATTATGGCATGGATGTACCGTCAGCCATTTTGTACTCCTTACCCCTCTTTTTTTCTGTGAGCCCCGCTTTGTGGAGGTTGTATTCTGTCTGTTTGTCCTGGAAAGTGTAATGATCCCAGCGCATTCTGGATCTTGTGTTTTTGGATTATTGACTATTTTTCACGCATCTGCCATTAGCCTGGATGTTTGCATAACTAGTAGACATGTGCGATTCGTTTCGTTCCGAATCGAAATTTGGACTGAAATTCGAATATTCGTAGATTCAGAGCATCCGAATTTCCGAAATATAACATATCCGAAAGCATCCGAATCCGAAATTTCGGATCCGAAATGTCGGATTTGGAACGAATTTCGTCCAAATCCTGTGCGTGCACGGTTAACATTTAAACGGATAAAAACAAATTAAGAAAAGGATTTTAATGTCCCTTTAATAGTAAAGACTAGAGCACAGCAACCAGAAATGACAAATGTGCCAATTCTGCAAAAGTTGAATTTTCGGGAATTTGTCAGAATTCCGAATCAGACACGAATTCCGAATCAGATCCGAATACTAATCCAATTAGTATCCGAATTCCAAAAACGAAATCCGAAACAAATTTTTAGCCACTGCACATGTCTAATAACCAGCCATCTGTACTTTGAGTTCTCCGTGTTGCACTTTTGGCTTTGCTTTTCAAGTCAGAGCTCAGTAGCATTAAATCTGTATCCAGATGTTGCTACTCTTCACATTACTTAATTTATAATCACAATCCTGTTTCCCTCAATGCACTTTGCTACCATGTTTTCACTGGACATGCAGGAATATAGCAGGACATTTGGGCCTGTAAGCATCCCCCATAATATAAAGCACAACTTTTGATGGGGTAAAAATCTGGTGATGCATCTCAATCTCTTTAATTTCTGTCTTTAAACACAGTCTAGTACATGCCTTGCCCATTACCATTTACAAATATAGCTTAAATTTATGTAGCTGACAATTTCTTCCTAAACATTTGACCTCCCCACTGATTTGTTAACTGTTCTGGAAATGTGTGTTTCTGTATCTGAGTGAGCTTGTCCTGCCCCACCTTTTGGAAATGAATGCTTGCATCCTTACTGTGTGTAGCAAACTAAATTTCTGAATTTAGTTCTGTCGTATATATATATTATATGAAGAGATATTTATGTTTCTAGAAAGCAGGAGTGAGACAGAGGTCTCAGAATTGCCCAGTTACAACTGAGACGCAATATAGATAATTTAGGTTCCAGTTATGATACAAACTGCCTAGTAGCTATGATCAGAAAATACCTGAAATAATCACTTGAATAAAATGACCTACAATGTCCCTTAAATGATTTGACCTATTGCTAAGTATAATCTCGAGGTAGCAAATCTTGTAACGGTAAGTGAGGCCTGTTGACTCAAATCTAATTGGCAAGGCAGTGTTTACAGTTCTCCGATCTGTTGGGGAACAGGAAGCTAGGACATCATCGTACTACATAAGAAACATCTCAAGAAAAATCTTCCTCAAATTGTGCTTTGTGTTGGATGTACAAATCAGTGTGTCCAGTTATTTGCTGTGAGTTCAAATTTTAATTCTTGCTTGCTCTGCTGCTATAGAAGTGGTTGACATCTAACTGAATAAACAATATCAATAAAGAGTAAATCAATTTTAAATCTTAGATGAAATCCTTATGGAGCCCTCAGTCTCACTCCTCCATTTCTTGTAATATTTGTTCTGTGAAACAGTTTGTCATTTTGCCTGCAAGTAATAAAGAGATTTAAAGATGCACGGTAAGCTGTGTTTATGTTAAAAGTACCTTATACAACAATATGTGACCAAGGACAGTGGTGGGAAACTTTATTATATGATATATGCTGTGATAATAACTGTTTGCAAGTTTTGCAGGTGTCTAGCATTTTGGTGTCTATAGATTTGAGGCCTACTTTCAGAAGGTATATGTGTATCTGTAGGAGAAATCTTAGCTTCCCATGTACAAAGTGTCTGACTGAACAGTCTATGCTTTCCTCAAACCAAAGAGTGGCCTGGTACCTGGGACATTTTCTGTCGGTCTTCTGTGAAATGAACTGGGCCTGCAGCTCCCTTTTTTCACATGGTTGGTGGTATTGTGTATAACTTATTAATGCTATGGTTTGTCTAATCATATATGACAACAATGTTCCTGGACTTGGAGCTGCTGGACTTCAGCATGAAGAATCTACACACTGCTGGGAAGCAGGAGCTGGCTTCCTCTGCAGTTTGCATTATGTGATCATTCGTGTCACATGATCCAAGTCTGGTTCCTGCTTCTTAGCAATGATGCAGTACATAGGAGTAGTGTTAAGGGTCAAGGTCTCAAGTCTGATGACCAAAGTGAGGCATACATCACCTTTAGCTACCACTATTCAAGGACACTTTATGGCTTTCGCACTTACTTGGGTGCCCCGGGGCTTAAGTGCCTGAATCACAAGCACCAGACCCTAACAGGTGGTTGTTTCCCCAATGAAGCTGAATTGAAAAGTCATGCAGGTGGTCAAATCCAGGGAGTCCAGCAGGTGAGGGATAACAGGCAAGGCAGGAATCAGGAGCTAGAACTAGACATGAATCAGGAGTGAAAAACTGTGAGACAAGAGTACAGGCAGGGTCTGGAACTAGGAATGCTTCAAGGGCAGGATGACAAGAACAATAATAAGACAAGGCTAGAAGAAACAGGATGAAAGATAATGGGCAATTGGAGCATAGATGGTAGTATCCTTTTAAAGGTGTACAGAGCAGACATTTTACAATGATAGGCCAATGACCAACTGAAGAAGTATACATGGCAGGCTGGCAATACATTTTCTAATTGCGAGTCAGAGGCTTTGCATTGTCAGCCTGCAACAGAAAGTGATGTTAGTGGCAGGATCTCCAGGTTAGAAACTTTGCAACAGAGTCACAAAAATGATTTGCTGAAGAAAACAAGACAACAAACATAACGGCAAAATAGAATCAGGGATTACGTACATTTTAAATACAGTAGCTCTATGCTGAGAACACCAATTGGAAGAACAATAACAGGTGAAGTCTATTGGTGTATTAGGAAAGACCGAGTATTTTAACTAATAAATTCATACTTTTTTGTACTACATTTTGGCTCACTGACCCTCATTAATACTGCACTTTGATTTGGTCCTGTCTCAATCATTTCAATATCTTTTTTCAGTTTTAGCAAGGCACTGGCACTACAGTCTAAAGGAGGTGAACAAAGACTGAAATGTGTGTGGCTAGCTCCAGTTACATATTGGAGTTTTATATTCCAAATTTCAGTTTAATATTGCTTTGGAAGCAGAATACATAATTACTACTGAAGTAGATAGGAGAGACCCTCTTTATATAGTCTCTGCCTACCTTCTAGTATTTCTGGTGTTCTTTTTCCAGCTGTAGATGTTCTCACTTCTTGTGCAGTCTCCAAATGAATAATAATCAAACATACAGAGCCCAACCTCTTTGTATTGATGGCTGCAAGCATGGAAACCTGGGAACTTAAACATGGAAATGTCACCATGTTGAGAGCAAAGGGAGGAACGAGAGCTTTTGGCCAGGGAGGCTAACACAACCAACTGGCCCTTTCATGGTGGTGACTACAGGTAAGGTTGGGTTTAGTGCAAACCCAGTTTCAGGGCAGCCATCAGAAATTTTTGGGACCCTTACACAGCTTTAGGCCTGGGCCCCCCCTAACAACACTGCACTGGCCTGTTCACTGGCTGTCCAATCGAATACGTCCACTGGCCGTCCCTCCGAGTCCTTTAGTGCACACTCTTTTATTTTAACACTATTGCACCTTAATATTTGAAATGTGTATTCTAACGCACAGGTAACACTGACTTTGCTGGGATGACAACGCACAGGTAACACTGACTCTGCTGGGGTGACAACGCACAGGTAACACTGACTTTGCTGGGGTGACAACGCACAGGCACACATTCTGGTGCGGGCGATCGCACTGTGGGTGGGGGGTGTGGCCAAGCCCCTGAACGCAGGAAGCCGTCCGGAATGCGATACAGTGGTTTCCAGAGGCTGACCGCTCTGGAACGCACTGTTTATGGTGTGAACCAGCCCTAAGTCAAATTATTTGTCACGCATCTGCGGTTGTGCTATACTGCACAACCATTACATTATTCTCCATGGGGCCTATTCACACCTATGCAACATGATGCAGTACAAATTTGGAAAGGATGCAGGTACTTCTTTAGCTGCTACACAGTGCATTTTTTGTTGCGTGGAAAACACATGGAAAACATATGTAACACATGTGCATTACAACAAACATGCATTACAACAAGCCCCAACCCCCCTAGCAACCTATACTTTATTGCACCTTCATCGGCCACAACAAAAACGTATAATGCATTAAAACACATGAAACACATCAAAATGAGCATAACACATGAAAAACGTTCTTAAAAACACATGCAAATGCAGACCCACAAGCTGTGGCGTCACAATGGGAGTGCGGCCCACACCAGGTGACACCATCAGAGGGGGTAACACCATAATGACTGACAGTCATTTTGGTGTCATCCCCTCTTAAAAGTCGGGCACTCGGTCATGGCCTGAGAGCCCCTCAGTGACACGAAAGAGAGGAGAGAATCCGGCGGCATACCTGATCCTGCCGGGTCAATATCCCTTCCTCTCTTTGCCGGCATACATTACCAAGATGGCCACCGGCAGGGAGGTACATCACCGCGCATGTGTGATTACGTCACACCACAGACGTCATAATGTATGCGCGCCCGCTGCACCGGGTGGCACACACCCTGGGGCCACCACTGTACACACGTGTGAATGAGACTAAAGCTGGTCATACACCACCAGAATTTTGCTACACAAAATTCCTTTTTTGAAAAGTTCAGGATTCTGATAGTTAATGGAGTCAAATCAACATTTTCAACCACAATCATAAAAAAAAATCAAAGGAGCAGGATGGAAAATTGTTCTTGAACGCATTAAATTCTAACAGGGAATGTGGTTTTCCGAATGGAGAAATTCCAAAATCAAGTTAAATTTAAAATGTCATTTGTCATGTCTCTGGTGGCTTTATCAAATGTTCCCTTTTCGCATGAATGTTCATATGAATTGGAAAATCTACCAGTGTATGGCCAAGTTAAGAGCTCAGTCACATGGATGTGCAGGTTCAGGACAGTGTGTAGCCGTGTGTAGCTGCCTGAGCCTGCACATTCATGTAGGCTCGTGTGTCTGCACTTGGACGCACTCTGTCTGTGTTCTCCTATAGGGAGGTACAGGAGGCTGCACGCAATTATACGTAGCACCTGTCCATCCCGGGAGCAGGTCTCTGCACAGGCGTGCATACCGTATGGATGTGCACGCCTGTGTGAATGAGCCCTAAGGGCCCGTTAACACCAGATGCAGTGCGTTCCGGCCAGAACGCACTGCCTCGCATTGCGGCTGGCTCACTTTTTTGTGGGGCAGGAGGGGGCATGGCGGGCCATTGAAGTGAATGGTACCGTAGTCACGCCCTCTGGCCGCAATGTGATCGGTCCCATGGGATCGCAAGGCACATTATGCCTGCGGTCCGGTCTGATCAAAATGCTGCAAGCATAATTTCACTCACGGTGTGAACGTGCCTTTAAATTTGTCTACTAAAGGGATGCAGATGATGCAGCTTTCCTCAAGACAGCAATGAGATCTTCTCAGATGGGTATAATTAAGCATGACCCTCCCATTCAGCAATCAGTCTGGAGAAGACATGGAGAAACAAACAGCTATGTCTTCAGAGACAGGTAGGAATCTGAAACAGTTTGGTAAAATCTTTGCAATGTGCATTGATCACCCAGAGGTGGTTGTTATTTCTCAAAATGAAGTGGAGCTACAAGTCATCTAGGAAGATCCCTCAGCTCCCTTCAACAAATGAGCACAACACATATCACTGTTATGCATTCTTTCAGCATTGACTTGTTTTGCGGCTCCCTGTATTCTGCCCCATGACAGAGCTACAA